TATATCTCGAAAACTCGTAAAATCATTCGATCATGGAAGATATAACCTTATCTCGTTATTCTTATGAAAATTGTCGTAAAGTGTTCCCTCAAGTTGAACACAGAGATATATATACCTCAGACCAGAAGACATCCAAATTTAAAGAGAAGGGGAAAAAATGTGATGTAAGAAGGAAAAACATTATATTGGGGCAAAATTAGGAAGAGCATTTAAATAAATGAGTGACAAAATTTTATAATTATAAAATTAAAATTATATAATAAAAGAAAAAAAGAAACTAAATTAAGAAAGAGATTGAATAATAGGTAGATAGATGTTAGGTAATTTTTCTGTATCATTCTGATTGTTAATACCATTTCCATGCTTTTTGATATGAATCATTTCCGAGATAGATCTTTTATAAAATGAACGTTCTGAATCTAAAATATTGATATTTTCCCAATCTATCTGATGACCATACTGAAGTTGATGCAGAGAAACAACGGAATGATTATTAGATTTTCTAATGTCGGTTTTATATTCTTTAATCCTAGTTTTTAATTTCCTTTTTGTCTGTCCGACATAAGAGCAATCGCAATTACAACAATTAATTTTATATACAACATTATTATTATCCATTTTATCCAACTTATCCTTCCCTGTTTTAATAAATTTATTTAAACTATTAATGGGTTTATATGCTATGTTCAAATTATACTTTCGGTAAACATTTTGAAATTTTTCTGTAAAGTTTTTAACATAAGGTAAAGTGCTATAAATTTTAATACTATTATCACCCAAGTCTTTTTGATTAGTTTGTTTTAATTTATTATTATGACTAAGTGATTTAATTCTATTATTAATTGTGTTAAAAAGAAAATCTAAAGGATACCCATTATTTAATAAAGTGTTAATCATATTAGAAATATTTAATGCATGAAAATTAGGATGTGGGAGATATATAATTCTATCAATTAAGGAAAAAATAGCTCCTCTTTTATGGCATAAAGGATGATTGGAAAGAAAATTTAGAAATCTCCCTGAATGAGTAGGTTTCTTATTTAAGTCAAAAATTATCTTATTATTTATTATTCTTATTGTTATATCCAAAAAATTCACACTACCATTGTTATGGTTAGTTAGTTGGTGAACGTGTTAGGAAAAATAACTGCTGCCGATCGAAGATGGTTTTTGTGTTTATTGCTTCTACTGTTTGGCATAACATCAAAACGTGATCGTTCTTACAACTCGCTCGCTCTATACCACCATTTTCTCTCGCATACACAACGCCACTCACTCCCCCTCCTCCTGCTCGCCTTACGCGAAGTGAGTGCGCCGCGTACTTCCCGATAGCGCCAAATACAAAATTCAAATGCTCAAACTTTGCTACGCAACATCTTGCCCGCCTTGAAAGGCTCGCCTTTCAACCGAATGGCGCTTTCCTCGCTTTATCAACTTACACTGGACTTAATTCTAACGATTACAATATAGTTACAAAAGATATAGGAGTAAGTTCTGTTTAATCCTCTAAGGTCAGTACGCAAATCTTCTGAACAGCTCGTTGAGTTACACCTAATGGAGTTTCCAACTCAACTGTGCGGATTAGACCATCCGATCCCTCGAACATTTGGATTATTCGTCCTAGTTTCCACTGCAGGGGTGGCGCATTATCATCGCGGATCAGCACGAGAGCACCGACCTTGAGATTGGGATTTGATCGCTTCCTTCCATTTGTGCCTAGCTTAAAGTTGAGTCACATATTCTCTGGACCAGCGTTTCCAGAATCCTTGCACTAAACGAGTTAATAATTGAAAACGAGACAAACGGTTCAAAGGTCCATTCTCAAGGTCGGGCTCTGGTATCGCCGTCAATGGCGCTCCTATTATAAAATGGCCAGGCATTAGAGCATTCAAATCAGAGGGGTCCGTAGAGACAGGTGTAATAGGTCTAGAGTCTTCAATATGACTTGTATCTGCGCAAAAATCGTTGTTAATTCCTCGAACGTTAGAATAGTTTGGCTGATCACCGCCTTCAAATGCGATTTCGCCGCCTTTACGGTGGATTCCCACAACCCGCCTACCTACATGTGGCGAGTACGGTGGGATAAATGTCTATTTTATTAGCTTTTCTGAGGTAAACTCCAATATCTTATCCTTGACTTGATCGTCCTGAAAAACTTAGATAGTTCGTTTAATTCGTTTTTTGCTCCGACAAAATTTCTCCCGTTGTCGGAATAAATATGATAGCTCTTACCACGTCGAGCTATAAAGCGTTTTAAAGCATTGATAAAGGCTGAAGCTGACAAGTCGGATACAACTTCCAAATGCGTGGCCTTAGTGGCCATGCATACGAACACGGCTAGATAAGCCTTTCCGGTTTTATTACGTGAGATCTTAATTGAAAAGGGACCCGCATAGTCGACACCTGCCTGTGCAAACGGACGCCCCGGATTTACACGGCTAGCAGGTAGGTTACCCATTATTTGTTGCAGACTCGTTGGAGCTCGTCGGAAACACAAGATACATTTACGCAGAACGAATTTCCCTTCGCGCAGATACGATCCAGTAAGTGTCACGAATTATAGCACTCAAAGTATTGAGTCCGCATGTAAGTATTGAATCGCATGTAAGTATTTGTAGTGCATGTCTCTAATTAGCAATGTGAAAAATGGATTGTTTGAAGGAAGGATAATAGGAAATTGCTGATCATACGCTAAATCGGCATTCTTCAACCTATCACCTACTCGTAAAATTCCCCTTTCGTCCAAAAAGGGGTTCAATGATAAGATACGACTGTTACGGGGTATTCCTCCCTTTTCCTTACTGAGTTCTTGAATTTCTTGGGGGAAGGCATGACGTTGGGTCATTCTTATCAGGATCAGGTTTGCTTCTCTTATATCGTCCGCTTGTAATGATTTAGTTTTATCCTGCGACACATTTTTGCGACAGTTTCGAATGAACTTGTTGCAGTAAGCAATCACTCGCTGCAATTTGGACAATAATGAGAATTTCTCTAGCAGATCGCGTTCTTCCTGGTAGTTAGCGACTAAAATTCGTTCAGTTGCCTTTTCTTCTAAGGGCTCTTCCAGAATCGCTTCATTTGACCACTGGTCTTGGCTGAACCCTAGCCAGTGAGGTCCGGCCCACCACATTTCTGAGTTTGGTAGTTCTCTGGGATCCATGCCCCGCGAAAACAGGTCCGCAGGATTGAATTTGGTACGCACGTGTCGCCACTCATTCTGACGGGTTAGCTCTTGAATTTCTGCCACTCGGTTAGCCACGAAGACCTTGTATTTAGTTGGTTCGCCCCGAATCCAGTGTATAACGATGCTTAAATTGCTCCAATAGATGTATCTTTGAATGGGCGTGATAGCCTTTCTTACCTTAAATGCAAGCCTGGCGAGCAGCACAGCACTACACAGCTCCAGTCTTGGAATTGACAAAACCTTCAAGGGTGCTATGCGTGATTTGGACACGAGAAGTTTAGAGCTCCTTTCTCCCTGCGCGTTGGATGAGCACAAATATATGCAAGCGCCGTATGCCAATTGCGAAGCGTCGCAAAATCCGTGCATTTCAATCTTACTAGTTTCCTGCGACACCACATGGCGCGGTATCCTTACTTCTTCCATAGCTTCAAGCCTTTCCTTGTATGAGTTCCATTCTAACAACAAATCCGACGGTATTTCGTCGTCCCAGCTTACACTCAGCTTCCATAAGCTTCTCATGAACAATTTAGCCTTTGTTACTACTGGTCCTATGAGGCCCAGAGGATCGTAGATTTGCGCTATTACTGACAGGATACTTCTTTTTGTACTGCTGGTTTTCTCAGGCATCATCAGCTTAAACTTGAAGACATCCTCCCGCGAATTCCAACGAATTCCGAGGGTTTTGACTTCCTCATTAGAGGTGAGTGGGACTTCTATCTCGCCCTCTGTTAACAGATCTGATACGTTGGAGTTCCATTTTCTAAGCTCCATTCCTGCTGTTGCTAGAATTAGGGTTACCTCCTCTCGTAGTTGAAGCAATTGAGAGATAGATTCGCTTCCTGATATCCAGTTGTCCATATAAAAGTCATTGGCGATGGTGTTTGATGCCTTGGGATATAGTGCCGCATTATCCATGGCAAGTTGTTTTATACACCTTTGTGCTAGGTAAGGAGAAGAGGCTGTCCCATATGTCACTGTCGTGAGCTCATACTTGCGGATTGCTTCTCCCTCTTTCTCCCTCCACATAACTCTCTGTAATGCTCTATCCTTTTAAATATTACTAAATTAAAAGGGTCACGAGCCTAAAAATACAGAAGTAGAAACTAAGAAAAATATGTGACGACAAACAATATTTGTATAAATTCGTATTTAATGCAATAAACAAAACATAAAAAAATAAAACAATGTAACTATAATAAAACAGACGTACGTTTCTGTCCGTTTCGGACCATTTTCAATGTTAAAATAAAACAATATGACGAATAAATAACTTCAAATTATAAATTTACATAAGAAAAATCTTATCCTAATCGCGAATTTATCATAGCCCCAAAATCAGCAATCTCGCTTACGGTAGAAAAAACATGGTCATCTATCGTTTATGTTAAAGTGTAAATGAGCCTTAAATTTTAAGTGGTATTACAAATTTGTGACAAGCTCGTATCTAATGAACAATCAAAAAGAAAAAAATAAAAATAATGAGAATAATGTAATCTAAACTGAAATTTCAAAAATTATAAATGGAAACAATAATAAATGTTTAATAATACAATAACAAGGGCAATGTTAAAAAATCAAATCTGAACCGTTACAATATTATATACTGGAAAGTTGTGTGAACAATGTAATAAATCTATTATAAATATATCTAACAGTATATTATAATGTGAAAAGAAATTACTATATATAAATGTACTGAAATTCAAAAATTGGAAGTGACCGTAATTATCGAATGAAATTCTATATGAGAAATCCTATGTGTTAAGATTAACTTTCCATATATAAATTATAACAATTGTACAATTACCTTGTGAGGATGTCCAAATAAAATCGAAAGAATAAAAAGCCATAATCAAGGCAACGAATTGGAAAAATATATAAATTATCCATTAATAATCAGTGCAATGCGACAAGAACAATAAGAACATTCTTCTAGAAGTATCGAGAAGAAGTGAAAAGTTAGAAGCGAACATCACTAGCTTGCAGACATAAAGGAAATTAACAAGAGTGGGAGGTAGAGAGAAGTGGGAGAAACCGAAACAGTAGGAAAGAATATGAGAAACAAACGTGAAACAGGAAAACATTAGGCAGGGGAAAGCGAATGTATCAGAATAAGAGTCAGGAAGAGATTCGGTATCTTTCATCTTGTTAATTCCATGTTTCTGTCGTTTTATGTAAATCATCTCAGACAATAATCTTTTGTTGTAAGAAGAGATTCATTATCAAGAATTTTAACTTCATCCCATTTGAAATTATGGTCAAATTCAATCCTGTGTTCAGAAATTACTGAAGGGGAACCTGTATTCTTTCTTATGTCCGATTTATGTTCATTGATTCTTGTACTCAACTTCCTCTTAGTCTGTCCCACGTAGCTGGCCTCACAATTTTCACAAGAAATCTTGTAAACCACTTTGCTGTTAGACAATCGGTCTAACTTGTCTTTCTCTTTTCTAATAACTCCTTTCAGGGTGTTAGGAATAGTAAATGCCAGCTTACAATGGAACATACTTGATATGGGTAGAAAGCTTTCAGAAATGGATTTAACATAAGGTATCGTGAAATATTTCACATTTAAATTAACATTGACACATTTATTGTGTGTATGGAACTTAATTCTTTCTGAAATCGTGGAAAAAATAAGAGACAGTGGATAGCAATTATTCAGAAAGTTATTAATGATATCAATAAGATTATTACGTTGGAAAGATGGATGTGAGAGTAACAAAACTTTGTCTACAGAACTAATAATTGTGCCCTTCTTATGACATAGAGGATGATTAGAGTAAAAATTTAAAAATCTGCCAGAAAATGTCATTTTGTGGAAAGTGTCAAAAATAATTCTATTACCATCAATTATTAAAGTCGTGTCTAAAAAGTTGATTCTTCCATTCTTACTAATCTCTAACGTAAATTGTAGTCTATCGTGTAATGAATTAAAAACATTCAAAGAGTCAACAATGTTGTCAAATGGAAGCGCAAGTAAAACGTCATCAACATATCTATAGTAAAATAGCGGTTCTGTTGTTAATCTACCAATAGCCACCTTTTCTAGATCCTGTAGTACCATGTCAGAAATAATAGGTGACAGAGGCGAACCCATAGGAGTACCAAAACTCTATCCTTTTTCCTAATTCTGATTTGACGGAACATCTTAGATATGTTTGCGATGATAACGTAGTTGTGTTGCCTGAACCTTAGTAAGATGTTCATAAGTTCTTGTTGTAGATTAGCTCCAACTCTCAACAGATCGTTCAACGACCTTTCTGATGATGTTTGACAGAAAGCATCAAACACTACTCGAAGTTTCGTGGTCGAGCTCTCCTCCCTCGTGACCCCATGATGTGGTAAATAGTTAGCGACAGCTTGATCGTCACTGTTCTTCGGGAGTAGTTCCATGTGTCCCATGCTCTCGTAGTCTTTCATGAACTCCAGGTATCGTTGGTGGAATATCGGATCTTTTCCAAATCTCCGTTCGATCGATCGAAGTCTTCTTACTGCATTGTGTTCTGAAGCTCCCAACATTTGAGTTTCCCCTTTCAATGGCAGCGATACTACAAATCTTCCACTCTCGTCTCTATAAGTGGTTGCTTCGAAATGTCTCCACATGCCTTTTCTTCAAGAGTTAGTTCTCTTTCAAGCTCACATCGGTCGATAGCCCAAAACTTCTCTACTTGCTCGTTTAGATTTTCGTTAGATACTACGCAGCAGATGTTAGTGGTCGATGTTCCGATAGGCGTAAAGTTTCCGCCCAGCAGCCATCCTAGTTTTGTGTTCTGGAACACTGGCTGCTCATCGTTGAGTTGAAACCTTCCTTTCTGCAGAACGCTCCAGAAGACTGATGATCCCAGCAACATGTCCACCCTTTTTGGTTCGTTGAACGTTGGATCGGCTAATTGAGAGAAAGGAATGGTTTCTGGAATTTGTAATTGGGACAATTCAATTCGTCGCTCAGGTAACTTACTGGTGATCTGATCTATTACCGTAAAGCTCACGATTCTGCGTATTTGTTTACCCTTGACCTTATAGTCGCCGTTACTATCTCGCTTGTTAAGGTTGTGTTTCCGCGAAACCCTATTACCTTCCCTGCTCTTCTTTTCGTATTTATGCCTAATTTCTTGATCAAATCAGATGTAACAAAGTTAAGAGTAGAGCCATTATCTAATAATGCACACGCGGTGTGTAATCTCCCATATTTATCGACAATATGTACTTCCGAAGTTGATAAAAGAACCTCAGGATTCGTTTTTTGATTCGCGCATGTTACAATAGAATTCGCCGCGCAATTTTTCTCATCGGATTTAACCTCCACTGTCTCACCTTTATTTAAGCTATCACTACTATTGTAATGCAATAAGGAATGATGTTTATTGCCGCAATACCTACACATGCTAGATCTACAGTCCCTCACGAGGTGATTTGTGTTTAAGCAATTTAGACACAGTTTAAGCTTACGAGCCTCAGCTACTCTTGACTGAACAGATAGATTTTTAAATGAGTCACAAAGATAGACTTTATGCTCCTTTTTGCACACCGGACAACTTAGCTTCGTGATATGAGCTACGCCTTTACCTTTTTTTAATAAATTTTTCACTCTCTTTAGTTACGCTATCTAAAGCTCTAACGCCTTCCAACATATTACATTTATCTTCTAGAAAGGCGATGAATTCTTTGGTTTCGTACTCTTTCTTATGAATGGTTTTCTCTTCCCATTCACGCGCTGTTACGGAATCAAAACGCGTGAGGACCCATTCAATTATCAGCGGACACCACGTTTCAGTTTCATACTTGAGTGCTTTTAAAGCCTCCAGATGTTGCTTCAGGCAATCTGTTAGGTTATGCAATTTGCTACTCGACTCCTTTTCGATTTGTTTAAGATTAAATATAGCACGCGCGTGATGCCTGGTTGCTAGACGAGAGTTATCAAAACGATCTTTCAACAAGTTAATTGCTCTGGAATAGTTAACTTCATTTACTCCCAAAGCTTCGATTATCTTTTTTGAGTTTGCATCTAATGCCGATTGTAAGTAAAAGAATTTATGCACATTCGATAAATTGTGATTTTTATCCACTAGAGCTAAGAATGTGCTAAAAAATGTCGGCCATTGTTCGTATGTCCCATCAAAGGTAGGGAGACTCATTACTGGTAACCTAACAGACGTACCTGCAGCAACCGCATTTTCGCTAGTTATGGGCGGGGTGATCCCGATTGACCACGGCTCGATTGGACACCACCAATCACAGCGACCGGTGCTTAGGAGCTTTGTAGTCTCAAGCGCTGTGAGTGGCTCGTGTCCAATTGAGCTGTGTCCAACTGGGTGCCACCCATGCACACCTTGTGCTTCCACATTGACTCGCGGAGAATGTTCTTCTACGATAAGCCGCGCTTTGGCTACAATCGCAAAGTAAGCTTCTTCGAAGTCGAATCGCTCGATCTTCTGTTTCGCTGCAAATTGCTCAGATTGGTCCAATGCTTCTATCTGAGCTTGAACCTCATCGAATGTATCCCATGACTTTTCGATTTTTTCCAACCTGATACGAAGTTGCGTCAGATTCTCCTTGTTGGCCAAGAATCCGCCGAGATACGTATCGAACTTCGTTAATTGACTCTTAATAGTCCCACGTTTGCGTTTCAGTTCCGTATACTGTTCCTCCCACATAGCAATGTATTTCCTTAGGATATCCTAATTTGATCAGATTGATCCCATTCTGATCCAAAACATTAAATCATCCTCAGGATATTTGTAATTATCATTGTACTAATATAAAACGTCCCTAGGATATCATATTTTGATCCGATAAAATTTTGATCACTTATATTGATAAATTGTATTTTTCAACTTCCGACACATATATGTTATATACATTTATGTATTTTACGTATATTATAGAGACATATCTTTGCAATTTAATTTTTAATTTTTTAACAATGTTTATATAAATATCCCACACAACATACTGAAAACTACTCTTTGTTTCGGGAAGAATTTAATCATATTTATCTTTATATGTTATTGTTAAGGCTATTAATTTGACAGTTGCAGCTATAGCTTATTTCGTTTTTTATTGTACATAATTTATTTTTAAATAGGTATATGAATTATTTATTAATTGACAAAGCGAAAGCAGTTTTTGGTATATTTTACAATATCAGTTTTATCGATTATAAGTACTGTTTTAATGAAAATTTTCCATTTTACTAATTAAACTAATTATGAAAAACTCTATTTAAAAAAGTACTTTCAGAGGCTCCATGAGCACACTCTGATCAAGCTAAGAGTAAGTGACGAACTCCATTCGCATATGCCTCTTTATAGAGATCCAGGTCATTTTCTCCTTACTTGAGTCCATTTCGCGGCGATATTGCGTACTATACCGCTTGCCTGGCAGAGTATACGTACGCTATAGGCGTACGTATACTACGGACGCCGCGGCGCCGCCAAGCAAGCGGCGTAGTACGCAGTACCACCGCGAGATGGGCTCATTTTCCATAAGGAGAAAATGACGCAGATCTCTATAAAGAGGCGTATGCGAATGTGTTGAGGAGGAACTGAGGCGAGGACAGGTGAGAATGATAACGAAGGATATGCAGAGAACCAAGAGATATACTTGAGAGTCGATGCAATGGTTACAGGCGCAGTGAGCAGATAGATACATATAGCAAAAACTACCGCTGGAAGTAGGCAGGTGGCGCCAGTAGGAAAAGCAATGTGTATTGTTGGTAACTTGGAAAAGCGCGGCCAATAGATGAATCTTAATACTTCCCCTCAATACATTTTGTGAATTAATCTACACGCGGGCGCTCGCAGCTTAATCCTAACAATTTAACGCATTTTTGGTGTTTGGGGCCCGGTAGTCCCTTCGTTAGAACGTCGGCTGCCATATCTTCCGTTGACTTATACAAAAGTTTCATCTCGCCATTCTCGACTATACCGCGCACGAAATGGTGTCGCACGTCGATGTGCTTAGACCGATTGTGGAAGACCGGGTTCTCGGTCAGTTTGATGGCGCCGCAGTTGTCGCTGTACAGGACGGTCTCGCCGAGATCGCTGAAACCCAGCTCGAGTAGAAAACTCCGAAGGTGTATGGCTTCCTTCGTAGCGTCGCTGATGGCCATACACTCGGCCTCCGTAGAAGACAGAGCGACGGTCCTTTGTTTGCGCGATTCCCATGATATCGGGCTTCCGGCAAGGATGAATGCGAAGCCTGTGTAGGACCTCCGGTCGATTTCGCAATTCGCCCAGTCGGCGTCGACGTAGCCCATCAAGGGATTCGAGGTTTTTTCGTATGTGAGACCGACGTCTCTAGTGCCCTTCAGGTACCTCAGCACGCACTTCGCCGCTGTCCAGTGATAGGAGTCGTGGTTGTTGTTGAACTGGCTTAGGTAGCTCGCTGCATGCGCGATGTCGGGTCTGGTGTATACTGATAGATACATGAGTGCGCCCACGAGTTCTCTGTATGGTACCCCAGCCTGTGTCGAGTCGATCGCTTCGTTCCGAGCTAATTTCACCCCCTGGCCTATGGGAGTAGTGACTGGTTTAGAATCGACCATTCCGAAACGTCTCAGCAAATCGTCGACGTATCCTCGCTGATTCATCGTGATCTTTCCTTCCACTTGTGAAAATTCGATGCCCAGGCAGTATTTCGTAAGGCCGAGGTCCTTAACTTCGAACTCCTCGGACAGATGAGCGTAAAGTTGTCCCACCGTGTCGCAGCCCTTTTTCGCTGCCATGATGATGTCATCGACATAAACAACAACTATAACGAGGTTCTCTCGCTCTCCGAGATAGAATACGCATGGGTCACACGCTGACTGGGTCAGATTAAATCTGCACAGAACTGCTCGCAACCTCTCGTGCCAGCATCTTCCGGCCTGGCGGAGGCCGTATAGGGCTTTCTTGAGAAGGAACACTTTGTTGCCGCGTTGTAGCTGTTCGAGAGTCCTCGAGGCGGCCCTACGCAAGCTCGATTTTCCTGTAGAGTTGACTATCTCCTCTAAGACTTCTTCGATATGATTTGGAGGTTCCATGTACACTTCCTCGGTTAGATTTCCATTCAGGTATGCGGTGGTTATGTCGAATTGCCGTAATTCGAGGCCCATTCTAGCGGCGAGGGATGCCACCAAGCGAATTGATCCGATACGAGCCACGGGAGCAAAAGTGTCGCCGAAATCGACACCGGGTTGCTGTAAGAATCCTTTCGCGACGAGACGGGCCTTCTTCTTTTCCAGGGTCCCGTCGCTCCTGTACTTGTTGCGAAGAACAAACCGGCTGCCTATCGCCTGCTTGTCTTCCGGACGCTCTACGATCGTCCAGGTCTTGTTCGTCAAGACAGCTCCCAACTCTGATTTCATGGCGTTTATCCAGAGATCCTTCTCGGGTTCGCTTAGGGCCTCCTTCGTCGGAATTTCGGCAAGGTTCGCGTGTTCCTCGTCAGCCAGACGCGCCGGGTGATACACCTTTTTCGGTCTTCCCCTCGCTCCGGTTCTCAAGATGCGGGGTCTACCTGGGCCTTTCCTGGGTTGA